CCGACATCGTCAGGTTACGCTATCTATTTATAGTAAGTTACCTCGGGCTGTCTTACTGATCCCTACATCGTCAGGTTACGCTATCTATTTATAGTAAGTTATCTCGTGCTGTCTTACTGATCCCTACATCGTCAGGTTACGCTATCTATTTATAGTAAGTTATCTCGTGCTGTCTTACTGATCCCTACATCGTCAGGTTACGCTATCTATTTATAGTAAGTTATCTCGTGCTGTCTTACTGATCCCTACATCGTCAGGTTACGCTATCATGGACGTTGTAACATTTAATAATTCTGCTATTTAATGATCGATTGGTTTTAAAATGTTCAAATAAGAAATTGATATGGAAAAGAAAGGCGATGTGAGCGTAGTTTATCTACCAATAATGACAGTTTGTTTATTTCTTTGACTGTTCTATGAATATTGTCACTCAAACTTTATTTTCATTGATGTTTTTATTTTTCCGTAGCCTTCCCGAGACTCTCTCTACTACAGTAAGACATCCTTGAACGAATCAAGCTTTCTTGGGAAGATGTAGCTTAGCAACTGAGAGATCCTGGATGGCTGGAGTTTTTAACGTTCTTTATCTTAAAATGTTGTCATAGCAACTTATATTTTGGTTTTTCCTGAGTAGAGATTTAGTCGATTTATTTCAAAATAAAAATATATATGTAAATTATTATTTTTTTCTGTGATAAATTTTCCTTTCACTACGTAAATAGACAACCAGAACAAATCACACACACACAGATGGACAAGAACTGCCCATAATACGTTCGAAAGCTTTTGTTTCTTTCATTGATTTCAATAAATGTCACTAGGGGGCTACATCAACGACATAGTCATTTATTACCAATTAACATATCAATTTATAGAAATGTTGTTTTTTAAAGTTTGGGACGGTATTTTATTACAAAACACAATGAAACTGTAGTTTTATTTTTTACCAAGTGTTTATTTTTCAACTTCACATAACACAAGTGTAGTACAGTACACTTTGACTACTCGTAGAGATTGATTTACTCGAAATATCGAACAGAGTAAAAAATTTGGAATTTTATTGAAATCATCTATTTAATTTTTCCAGAATAGTGTTTATATTTTCTCAGAATTAAAATAAAAAAATTAATGAATGTTTCGATGAATCAAAAGTAAAAAAGATTTAACAAATTGACCTGTTGTATATTTCTAATATGTTTCTTTTTTTACTCCAATCATCAAGAACATTTTCTGGAATAAAACGCAATTTACATCATTCACAATGAGTAGCTCTTGAGGTGAAATTAACAAGAACAGAAAAAGCTACGTTCCGAGTTTTCCTACTTGGTCATTTTAATAATATTTTGATATTTCCAACATACCGTTCGAAAAACTAATAGTATAGTCCTTATTATACCGACATACCGTTCAAATAATTAGTAGTATATTACTTGTTATACCAACATACTGTTAAAATAACTAATAGTATCGTCCTTGTTATACCAACATACTGTTAAAATAACTAATTGTATAATCCTTGTTATACCAACATACTGTTAACATAACTAATAGTGTAGTCCCTCTTATACGAACACATTGTTGAAATAACTAATAGTATAGTGTTCGTTATAACAACATACCGCTCAAATAATTAATAGTATAGTCCTTGTTATACCAACATACCGTTCAAATAACAAATATTATTGTCCTTGTTATACCAACATACCTTTAGAATAACTAATAATATAGTCTTTGTTATACAAACATACCGTTCAAATAACTTATAGTATAATTCTTGAAATACCGACATACTGTTCAAATAACTTATAGTATAATTCTTGTTATACCAACATACTGTTAAAATAACTAATAGTATCGTCCTTGTTATACCAACATACTGTTAACATAACTAATAGTGTAGAACTTGTTATACAAACATATTTTTCAAAATAACTAATGGTATAGTCTTTGTTATAACAATATACTGTTAAAACTTCTAACAGTATAGTCCTTGTTATACCAACATACCGTTCAAATAATTGATAGTATAATTCTTGTTGTAACGACATACTGTTCAAATAACTAATAGTATAATGCTTTTTATTCCAACATACAGTTCAAATAACTAAGAGTATAGTCCTTGTTATACCAATATATCGTTCAAGAACTAATAGTATAGTCCCTGTTATACCAAAATACTGTTAAAATAACTAATAGTATAATTATTGTTATACCGACATACCGTTCAAATAACTAATAGTATAATTATTGTTATACTAACATGCCGTTCAAATAACTAATATTATTATTCTTGTTATACCAACATACCGTTCAAATAACTAATAGTCTAAGTCTTGTTATACCAACACATTGTTGAAATAACTAGTAGTATAGTCCTTTTTATACCAAAATACCGTTCAAATAACTAATAGTATCGTCCTTGTTATATCAACATACTGTTAACATAACTAATAGTATAGTCCTTGTTATACCAACATACCGTTCATATAACTAATAGTATAATTCTTGTAATACCGACATACTGTTGAAATAAATAATAGTATAATTCTTGTTATACCAACATATTGTTAAAATAACTAATAGTATAATTCTTGTTATACCAAAATACTGTTAAAATAACTAATAGTATAATTATTGTTATACCAACATACCGTTCAAATAACTAATAGTATAATTATTGTTATATTAACATACCGTTCAAATAACTAATATTATTATTCTTGTTATACCAACATACCGTTCAAATAACTAATAGTATAAGTCTTGTTATACCAACATACTGTTCAAATAACTAATAATTATGTCCTTGTTATACTAACATACCTTTAGAATAACTAATAGTGTAGTCCTTGTTATACGAACATACCGTTCAAATAACTAATAGTATAATTCTTCTAATGCCAACAAACCGTTCAAATAACTAATAGTATTGTCCTTCTTATACCAATATAACGTTCAAATAAGTAATAGTATAGTCCTGTTATACCAACATACCGTTCAAATAAGTAATAGTATTGTCCTTGTTATTACAACATACCGTTCAAATAATTGATAGTATAATTCTTGTTGTAACGACATACTGTTCGAATAACTAATAGTATAATTCTTGTTATGCCAATATACTGATATATAAATCACAGTATAGTATTGGTTATAAAAA